TTCCACCAAAAGCCTCTCTTGGAAACCTGTTTCTACTTTAAAGGACACTGGGTGGTGAGCACTGTTTAAACGGTTTTTTTAACGAGCCTGCATGGGTGTGCTCATGCCAAACATCAACTCCCCCTGTGCAGTGCCACCAATATGGTCCAGGAAATTGAGCTGCATGCATAGTTCCCAGGTAGTTTTACTGCACTCTATTTTGGCTTATTTTCCGCCTTCTTCTCAAAGCATCCTCAGTGTAATGATAACGGTAACAGCTAACATTCTCCAGCGATACTCGTTAGGCATCTTGGTAAGCACGAATCTTCACAGAGGAGGAAAATGCAGAGGATGAGGGCGAGGTCAAGGTCAGAGAGGTAGTAAGACGACGCAGGGTCTGAGCCGTGGTCTGTGGCTCCAGAGGCCCCGCTCTTCCCCACACCAGACCACCACCTCGTCTGCACCAGCTAATCAGAACACTTTCAAACCCCCAACTTCTCAGGGCCGCTCGGCCAAGGGAGCACTCCGCCGCAAAACGGCGGAACACGGTATGTCCTCGGTCCTCCTCCCTCCCTGTGTTTTCCTCAAATACTGGGAAATCTTACTGGCTAAGAAAGCACTAAGGAAGTTTTCTTAACACTACCTAGGAAGAGGGACAGGTGGCACTGTTCAAAAAGTCTGTCCCCTCATTAAAGAGAAAACCGAAATCTAACCTTTCACCTCAAAGTCTTCACAATGCGCTGTTTCTCTTAATACAGGTTTTTCTTTTAAGTTCTCAGCAAGCAATTTAGGTTTTCCTCCCCTCCCTCTCATGGCATGTTTGCAAGGCCAGAATTGGGAAGTCCTCTAAATTACTAAAGGGACCAAAGACACAAATAAACAAACTACAGAGACAGATAACGTAATTGAGCGTTTCTAAACTAATAAGGTAGTAATGCCGACTATCACTTTTTAGAGTCCTCCTTACAAGTTTACTTATACTTTCGAGGGGAGGCCGTTGGCAGAGCAGGGCGACGGAAGCCTCGACGACGGCTCACAACTTTCCGGAACAATCCCTTCCCTCCGGCGCAGAGCCCGCACCGCCCGCACCTCCACGAACTCAGGCGCGGACGCCCGCCCAGAAGCGCCACGACCCGAGCTCCGAAGCCGCGGGCGACGGAGGCGAAGGGCGCGAGAGAGGCGAGGGGCAGGGGCGCGGGAATGGGAAAGGGGGCGCGGGCGGGCGGAGCAGGGCGCCGGCCTCGACGTGAGCCTCGGCGGCGGAGGTGACGCGTCCGGGGGCGGACAGGCCGGCACGGGGGCCGGAGGCGGGGGGCGCGGGGCTGGGACGGGGGATGAGGGGCGCCGGGCCGGGGGACGCCGGGTCGGGGGCAGAGGGCGCTGGGACGGGGGACGAGGGGCGCGGGGCCGGGCCGGGGGAAGCGGGCGGATGGAGCAGGGCGCCGGCACCGACGGGAGGGTCGGCTGGGAAGCTGACGCGTCCGGGGGCGGGCGGGCCGGGGCCACGGCCTCAGCGCGCTCCACCGGGCTCCGGGAGGGCCGCGAACTCACGTTTGTACTCCGCCATCAGCCTCTTGAGCGCCGTCCCCGCCATCGTCCGGGTAACAGCTGCGCCGTCTGGCCTCGCCTCCTAAACGCTCGTCCCTCCCGCCCGACGCCCGGGGCTGCTTCCGGGTCGCCACCGGGGCAAGAAGCCCTTCCGGGGCGCGGGGCGCGCATGCGCGGTGAGGGGCGAGAGCGGGCAGTGGCTGTGAGGGAGCAGCGCGGAGGGGCAGCAGCAGGCCTCGAGCCCGAGGTCGGTGTCCATGCGCCAGACCAGGGCCTTCAGCCGCCTTGTGGGGTAACACCGCCTCCGAACGTCCGAACTCCTGTATGGCCCGGGTGTTCCAGAGGACTCTGGAGCAGCGGCCACCGCGGGTTGAATGTCTCAACCGCCCGTTAGGTCGTCCGGGCGTCGGGAAGGTCTGATCACAGGACGGGACCTCCGAGGGGGACAGGGACGGGGTTCGGGGTCGGAGATGGAGGACGGAGACGGCGTGACCCCGAATGACCCGAGGCGACGGGCGCCCGGACCTCCGCCCGACCCTGGGCAGGCCCCGGGCTCAGATGGGTGCACCTGCCGCCGGTCGAGGGGGCCGTGGAGAGACTGTCCTCCTCCGGCCGGCCCTGCAGCCTCCGCCCGCTTCCCACGGTTTGTGTACGTGTATCCGGATAACTAGCGAGTCCTTTTCCCCTGACATTCTTGGTGGTTCTACTCCGATTGACCCGCATGATGGGGTGATCTACTTATGTTTCTTAGAATCCTTTCTCACTGCCTTCAAAGAAAGTAAACACTTTTAGTACTGTGCGCACCTTTAAAACAGTTTTCAGCTCCACAACACTTATCCTACACACGAGTCTACAGAATTTATTATACGATGTCCTGTGTAATTTTCTAGTATAATACATAATTTTGTCAACTTCAAAAAGCAAATTTGCCCGGTAGTTTATCTCAAAACGACTGTATTTGGGAATAGCCAAAACGCTTCCAACCACGAAAAAGCCTGCCACGGTGACCCATAGGTAAATCCGGAGAACGAGCCGGGGAGCTGCTTTTATAGAGAAAAGGGAAGAGGGCGGGGCAGTCCTAAAGGAAAGTCCATTGGGGGAGAGTAACAGTTCAGGGTGGCAACGGCTTCTCATTGGTTGGGCTCTGGCGTTTCTCATTGGCTGAGCTGTGGTGCTTCCCATTGGCTGGGCTGTTGCTAGGTGGGAGAGAAGTCTTCCTGAGTAGTAGAGTGGCTGTGCTTCCTGCGGGAAATGCGAGCGCCCCACTTTCTGTTTGGAGTAAGAGAGGCCACGGGATGGGGAGAGAGCTCCCCCTGCAGGTCTTCCGCATCCAGTTACTTCCGGTTTCTGTTAGTAATTTCCACAGCTTATTTTCATCTGTCTCCTCTAACCGGAAAACATATTCCCTGAGGGCAGGGAGTTTGGTCTCACTTGTTCCTGGATGCAGCCTCAGTACCTGGACATGGCAGTGTCTGTTGAATGAAATTGAACAAACCAACCTCGCAGGTGTACATATTTTAGGGTAGAGACGTCACAAAAATTCATTCCAACACTATCTTCTCAAATGACCATGGTGACTTGCAAAAATAACATGGTACTTTTAGGCAGTTTCAAAGAATAATGGATTTGCACAAATACGGAAGTTTCCTTCTCCTGTTCCAGACAGCTGCCCTCTCCTCTGACCAAACCACAGCCCAAGCCCCAAGTCAGTCAGGGGTCAGGGGTGTGGTTCCATGGTGACTAATGGGAGATAACTCTGCTTTTCCACTGAAAGGAAATGTGGGTGATCAAAAAGCACTGTCATCAACACAAGGACACTCAAAATAACTGAGCCTGTCAGGCGTGTCGTATTTTCTCAATTGCATCAATCTTGGTGTTGCAGATGTCTTTTCCGAGATATCATTTTCTGGTAGAGTGCTGTGTGTGTTTTTCAGTTATTATGTTCAGAAATGTGACTTACAGTTCGTATCGGGACTAATTTCAGCTTCAATTGACAAAAACCCACAATATGAGTCGCTGAAACAAGATGGAAGCCTCTCACCTCAATGCAGCTGTGCAATGGCCTCACCTCCAGAGAACCAGGCTCTCAACACATCTTCCTCCTCATGGCTGGTCCTCCTCTTTATCTGAGATTTGAGTCTAAGTGGGTAGTCTTTTTCCCTTATCTGCTAAATCTGGCAACTCTCAACTTGGATCAGTCGGAACTAGTGTCCCAGGGGTTCTGAGCAGACCTGTGATATTTAATGGCTTTCTAAGCACCATGCACTGGGCAGGCCAGTGAGTTCAGAATAAATGTAGTGTCTTTTATATCTTTGGCAACTAAAGCTCTGCAGCATAAAAGGATCTCACAGCTTAACCTGTGTTTTATGGTGGAGCTTTCATAGTAATACCGTGCTTCCCCAGCTGTGCACTTGTGCAGCACAACTACAGTGACAACACCTTGGTTTGCCTGGGACCGAGAGGCTCCTGGGACATGGGGCTTTGTGTGGCAAGTGCTAGTTGGGACCCAGGACACCAATAACAGGATAAATAGGGTATATCTCCTCCTGAAGAATCATTAACCCAAAGACTGAGAGTTAGGTTCATGTAACAATATTTTTAAAAATATAAATACCAACAGATCTATTATTCCTAATGCACAATTTGCATAAATTTCTAAGATAAAAGACAACCTCAAAGACATCCACTTTCTTCTACTGTCAGATGTTGTGGGTGGAAGTTCAAGCAGCTCTGTTCTAATGGCCCCAGACTCTCAGCCTTGCTCTCCGAATTTAACGCACCTCAATGCATCCCTCTCCTTACCAATGCAGGGGCTCCTCTGCTGGATTTAACCACCCCACCCTCCATACTCTCCAGGGCATCTGGCAAATGACTCCATCTCTGCAATGAGCTTTAACCATGTACTTCTACTGGTGTCAATGAATCAAGTGCTAGAGTGGACAAGCTCTGTTTTCCCAGCTGCCCTTCATCTTTCAATGTGTGCTCACCTCACCTGATGGACCAACTAAAACAGCTCAGTCATTTTCAACCCTAGTTTTGCCACAGCATAGTACACTAGGAAATTCTCAGTCAAATTAGTGTCAGTTCTCTTCAGTTTCAAAGCAGGTAAGTGAGCAGGCTGTTGACTGTACAAAGGAAAACAGTGTTATAGTCAAACACCAGAAAACTGAGAGGCCTACACTACTGTCCAGATTCACCTGCCTCTAAAATGTACCCTCTCTTTACACATGTCCAGGAGAGGAAAAGGGTGGTCATGATGCTGGGTCAGCTCAGCCAAGAGCCGCGAGAGCTCGGTGAGGAGTGAGAGGCTGCACTGTGGGAGGAGCACGCTGGGCCCAGCAAGGGTGATCTGCCAGGGGTGCGGAGGGGAGCCAGCAGGGGAATACTTACTTTTCAGCAACTAGCTTTTAAATGAGCCTGTGTGGCATCACTGAATGGTCACTGCAAATACTGAATTGTGACAGTATGCCTCAACCTCCAAATGTAGTATTTAATATAAGCCAAGAGACAGAATACCAAACTATATTTACTGTTTACAGTAGTAAAGGACAACAAATAATGTATAAATTGGTGAATAAACACAACAGAGCCAGCAGACGACCTGCCCACACCCCAACAGCAAAACACAAACGAAATGAGAACATCTTCAGCAAAATTTCAGGCAAGCAAGAGGTGACGGTCGTGGTCACACTGTCCAGGTGACTACACAAGGCAGAGAAGGCCATCAGGCAGCAGTGGGTCCATACAGAAGAACAGCAGAACTATCAAAGTTTAATTGGTACAGATCCCAAAATGTTTCACAGAACTGAAATCACATACTAACGCATAAACTCCATACCTACTTGGAAGGCGGCGCCGCACGAGTCCATGAGAAGAGCATGAAGTCATCTGTCCACGGGCTTCATTTGCTACTTTGAAGTAGCTCTTTTACACAAAAACGTAACTGCAAATTCAGCAATACGTAATCTTATGTGTTTATATATAGACCATAATTATTCATTAGAAGCAAATACTAGAAGAAATCTGAGGCCATGGCACTATTACCAAGTGAGCAATGTGGGGATTACTTTGTTCTATGTGAAGAAAAGCCAATTTGCACTGTGCCACACTTTGCCCATGCAGCATCTCCTAGGCACTGGGCAGTAGGTGATGGGTCCTGGGCCCCTGACCCACCCAAGGGATGCTTAAGGAGCAGGGCGCCCAGGCCCATGTTACTGAAGGACTTTTTACCTTTTAAGAAGCACTCCAGTATCTTCCCTTCAACTTTACCATATTCTGACAAAACTTAAATTTGCAATATTTAGCATTTAAAAAAACCTGTACCTACAAGAAATAGTAAGTGAAAGTTTGTCTCCCATCTCCACCATGCCCCCAAAACTTGTCCAACGGAAGCACCTCCATTGTGGTGGTGGAGTTCTCTACATGATTGGAATAAGCAGTGGGGGTGGGGAGGGGATCAATACCTGGACAAGATCCCCCTCTGGACTCAAAGTAGACATTCAGGCCACGAGTGTGGGGGACATCTTATAGGAGAGGGGGAAAAAACAAAAATGAAAGCAAAAATAAACCCCAAAACCTTGCAACTCATTTTGCCTAAACAAAGATGACAACTGAGATTGGCCCGCCTTTGGCGGTGGCTTCATCCCTGCAGAACGGAGTTGCGCTCGCAGTACGTCAGAGCGGGAAGTAATCCTGGTGGAGGTCCTGGGCTTCTGCAGACTCCTTTGTGATTGGCATGGTCACGTGTTCACTATTCAATAGCAAATGCAAGGACGGCGTCACGTGGGGATGGTCCCTCTAGAGGCTGCACCCCGAGAGGCAGCTGGTCTCCCTCGAGCCCCCTGTCTGCTGCTGGAACACGTCAATGGTGTCTTCGTCCTCCATCTCCAGCTGGCAGGGTCGTTGTGACGGGCACAGCGAGAGAGGGGGAAGCTGTTAGTTTTCTCACCATGATGCACAACCGACTCCCGAGCTCACTGAGCTGTTCCCTGGGCCAGAGCGCCGCCTGACGCACTCCGTGCTGCCCTCACGGGTGACGCGCAGGCAAAGCGGCTTAGGTTTGGATTTCAATAAGCCCTACTCATTCACCACGCTTTCCCTAACAAACTCACACAAGAACATCCTAAGTTAAGGACTTTAACTAACAGAGAGAAAAACTGAGTCTCATTAAAAAAATAAACAAGTGTCTAAAATTTTTACTGAAAATTACACGAAGTCAGATTCCATTAGAAATATCCCATGAGCAGCACTGAATCCTAGGGACCAGCAGGGGCCATGCACTTTCTAACAAGTGCAGTGGACCACGCTTGTGAAATCCAGAGCAAACGAAATCACAAAGGATCCACCAGCATAAGGGATCCACTGCTGGCTCCCCTGCCCGCTCCCTCACAACCAGGGCGGAGACAGTGCGAACACCTCCCGCCTGCTTCTCTCTTTCTCACACAGCAGGCACGCGAATATCTCCCTGATCTTTGTCATTCTCTGAACAAAAGGAAGCTTTTGCCAATTTCATACAGAGACTAACCAAGGCCAGAGGCAGTAATGGTTCTCAGAAATGCAGAGAAGTACCGTCTGGGCTGGCAAGGACCCTCTCCTGCTGCAGACACTGCCTGGGCGGTAGCCAGAGTGACAGGCTGGAGGGATAGCTGGGCTCCTAAAGCCAGCAAGCTCCCCGCACCGCCCAGGGCAAGCCCTACCCAGGAATCCTCCCAGGGCCGACACTGTCTCAGCAGTGGAGGAGTTCCTAAAGTGGGCAGGTGTAAAATCTCTTGATCTGCAGCCCTTTCACACAAAACAATCAATTCTCACAACTTTGTAAAGGAGAAAAAACATATCATCTCTGCTTTACAGTCAGACAAGACTGAGACTCCAAGAGATCCAGGGGCTCTCGATCAAAGTCACCCCACTGACAGATGACTAGAGCTGCCGCTGGAAGCTCAGCCGTCTATTTCCAAGTCCAGATGCTCTCACCACAGTGGGATGCACCACCACACAAGGGACCGATGCCTGCGGATTTGCGTGTGTGGTGGGCACATGCTTAAGAAAAACTGCTGACTGACAACCATGTGTGTGCATTCTCCTTTCCGCCCACACCCCCATGCATAAGTGCTTAAAGAGCATGAGAATCAAGCCAGTAATTTAGCTACAAATTGACTAACGTTGCAAATTCAGTGTTCAGACTACAGGTGGATGGGAACTGCGTCTGTCCCACACCCTTGTCTGTGAGCCTGGACCGCCTCTGCTGAGCACCCGGCCCTCCTGCTCCACCCTCCTGACACGGAGGATAATTTCTGACAAAGTGCATTTTTCACATTTGAAAAACTGAACTTCAAAATTAAATAATCTAATAATTAAACCCATTAGGAAAATATAAGGTATGCTATATGAGCACCAATCAGTAACTCTCAAATAAGAGTATTCCAAATGGTCACTGCAAATCAGAGGCAGCCTCGAGTGTGCACAAAGCCGGCGCTCATACCTGTGCTGGGGTATCTGTTTCATTAATTGGTTGCCCATCAAACCTGAATCTAATCTGTCTCATTGACAAGCCCTGAAAAGAAAAAGCAATTATCATTAAATATTTCCAGATAACACATTAATCCAAAAAAACCCAAATATTTATATCAGAATTCTGAATATACAGATTTATGAGGTTAATTATAAAAACTCACCAGTGGGCCTACAATCTATTTCATGTGCTGCTCCAACACCAATACTTTCAGACACCACTGTTCCAACATCTTCCAGCCCCTGGTCCCTTGCCCTCAGCCACCCCTCTCACTTCCCTCCAGAAGCCAAGCAGAATTTCTACGCTGTCGGCACCACCATTTCCTACCCTTTAAAAAATTCTCAGAGAGAAACAGGTCAGGTGACAATGAGGCATGTGATAAGCAGACTGCATGAAACTAGGAAGCAGTCCCAAAGATTCTGGCCCTGAGAAAGGCAGCAGGAGGGCACTTTGCATCCGAAAAGGAGCCCATGCAGCCTTTCTGCATCCCGGGAATGGGGACATGGTCAAGGTGCAGAAACATGTCCTTTTCAAGAGCAGTTCTGATTTCACTGAACAGGACAGACAGAATTAAAACACGCATCTCTGCTCCCCCCTGAAGCCCTACTCAAAAAACATAAAGAAAAAGGGCAGAAACAGCAAAGAGAACGAGACAGGGGACCGGCCAGTGGACAAGGGACACACACGCGAGCACACGCACACTGACGCAGACGTGCACAGACACACGCAGGAGTGCACACACACCCCCGATGCACACATGCACACAGACGTGCAAGTGCACTGACACACGTGCACACAGATGCTTCCAGGACAATGGAACTCTGAACAGCCTGGACACTTGGTGACATTAAGTCACTGCTAATCTAAGTTAAAGGAGTCCCTGCTCAGCCTTGGGGGCCGCTCCCAGGGCCCGGCGCACCTGCCTCTCGCAGTACGCCTTCATCAGCTTGCTCAGTGGGGTGTGTCTCTTGATTTTGAACTGGACCACGGAGCCGTCCTGCCCGGCCACCTTCAGGTTGATGTGGTCATTCTCTGTCTTCACTCCCTCCTGCAAAAGAGATGTGAAACGGGGCCTCAACGCCATGTCTCAAAATAACCACCATTTTAAAGGGCAAGTCTTTAGGTAATTGCTGGGGTTTTTTTTAAGTCATTAAAACCAACCTAAGTCTTAAAATTCTCCAGCACTCCCAGTCACTCATGCAGTTGTTTTATTTTTACACAGAATTTATTTTTAACTTCTACTTGTTAAGCATCCACATGTAAGGAAATGCAATGCAAATCTACAGAGTTTTCACAGATTGTTAATTCAAAGAAAAAATTTGCTTCACAAATCTAGAACAAAACTGAGAGAAATCCATCTTTTATAAGGTTACTCTCACAAAACCAGGAAAAACACATACTCGTAGCTTATCTATGATTACATAGGACTAGTAAAGTAAAACAAAAACCTTTAGGACAGAGGAAACTACAGCAGGTGCAGTGGTGCCAGGAGGCCCAGCTCGCTGAGCTTTCCCCTCCTGGCACTCATGACAACCTTGCGGGGGCCGCGGCCCTCAAGCAGCTTCTAGTTTCAGTCAGGCGACCTCAAGGGGAGTCATTCAGGGTATTTTACCTTCACGTGACTCACGATATACTCAAAGCTCCGAAACAATTACATAACTGGGGCTCCTTGTCCCCAGGACATACAACGGGCAGTGACGCAGGAAATCTATGTCCAGCAGGGAGGCCCAGGCTGAGTGAGGCCTGTGACCCGAGCACAACACCCGGTGGTCCTGCCCCAAAGGGCCAGGGCCTCCCTTACCTGCACTGCGTGGGACTAGGAGCCATTTATTTCTGAACAAAACCATGAAGCTGATCCGAGTCCATCTGAAAGTAGGTTGTGATGGAAATCACGTGTCTTTCGCATGTCCTCCCACTGACACTCCCATCTCTTCCTGGGCGTCATCTGTCATGGGGTCACCTGTCGTGTGGTCATCTGTCCTGTGGCTGAAGGAGCCGCCTACCCTTGGTGCTGAGTGCTGAGCTCCGGGAGGATTCCGCGCTCCCTCTGTGTCCCTGCCCCTTTTCTCCCCTGCGGGGGGCTGGGCCCTGGGTCCCCTCCCTGTGCCCCTGTGAAGCCTCATTCACAGAGGGGACCAGGGTGTCCCTGAGGCCACATCCATGCTGTGGCTCCCAGAGATCCCGAGTGGGCGTGCTCTGTCCAGAGCTCCAAGTGGCCAAGAAGTGGCCCCAGGAGGCAAGACTCAAGCAATGGGGCTGAAGGTGGACATCCTGGGGCGACCCTTACCCCCCACTGCAGCCAGGCACCAGCTGGGCCTTCCCTTTTCAGACCGCGGACTCTAATGTGGGGAGAACCAGGCAATGCAAAAAGGGGCACCTGGTGACCTGAGGACAGGATGGAGCTGGGGTCCCCACCCCAGAGACAAAGGATGCATTTGCTTTTTTTTTTTCCAAATAAAGATTTCATTTTGAACTAATTTTACGTTCACAGAAAAGTTGCAAAACAGAGATGGAGAGTGCTCCTGTACACCCTGGCCCGGTTACCCCTTATGTTAACATAGCACACACCTGTGATACACCTGTCACACCTAAGAGGCCAACACTGGCACATCACTAGCAACGGAACCCCACGCTATTTTGGTATTTCACCAGTTTTTCCACTAATGTCCTTTTTCTGTTCCAGGAGCCAAACCACAGTGTCACAATGCATTTAGAGATGATTGTTTTTCAATGTTTTTATTGTGTTAAAATACAAGTAACATAAAATTTATCATTTTAACCATTTTCAGTGGTATTAAATATATTCACAATGTGGTACAACCATGATCATCATCCATCTCCAGAACTCTTCCCACCTAGTAAAACTGAAACCCTGTCCCCATCAAACACAAACTCCCCATCCCCGCCCCCGGCCCCTGGCACCCACCACCTACTTTCTGTCTGTGTGAATATGATGATTCTAGGAACCTCATGTAAGTGGAATCATACAGTATTTGTCCTCTTGTGACTGGCTTATTTCACTCAGTACCGTGTTCTCTAGGTTCCTCCACGTCATAGTGCGTGTCAGAATTTCACTCCTTTTTAAAGCTGAATCATACACATTCCATTGTACGGATGGACCACGGTTCGTTTACCCATTCGTGCGTCAGTGGACACCTGCGTTGGTTCCGTGCTTTAGCTGTTGCGAGTAGCGCTGTGATGAACACGGCTGCGCAGACGTCGCCTTGAGACTCTGCTTCCGGTTCCTTTGGATAAATACCCAGAATGGAACCGCTGGGTCACATGGTGGTTCTAGGTTTAATTTTTTGAGGAAACTCCGTACTGTTTTCCACAGCAGCTGTACCATGTTACATTCCCACGAACAGTGGGACAACAACAAGAGTTCCCCATCCTCACCAGTGCTTTTCTGTTTTTTGGATAGTAGCCATTCCCACAGATGTGAGGTGGTGCCTCACTGCAGTTGTGAACTGCGCTTCCCTAATGATTACTGATGTTGAGCATCTTTTCGTGTTCCTTTTGGCCCTTACACGTTTTCTTTGGAAAAAGGTCTAAAGTCCTCTGCCTAGTTTTGAATTGGTTTGCTTGTTTTTCTGTTGTTGTTGAGTTGTAGGAGTTCTCTATATTCTGGATATTAACCCCTTATCAGGCATGTGACTTGCAAATATCTTCTCCCTTCTGTGGCTGCTTTTGATTCTGTTCATAGTGTCTTTTGATGCACAAAATTTTTAAATTTTCATGAAGTCCAATTTGTCTATTTTTTTGTCACCTCTGGTGTCATATTTAAGAAATCTTTACCAAATCCCATGCCGTGAAGCTTCTGTCCATGTTTTCTTCTAAGACTATTACTCTTTTACGTCTTACGTTTAGGTCCTTGATCCATTTCGAGTTGATTTTGGTATGTGGTGTCAAGGAGGATCCAACATCATTCTTTGGCAGGTAGAGAGAGGATGCATCTGCTTTTTAATGAAAAGATATGGGTGTGTTCAAAACACACAGATGCAGGGACCAGGACACATAACAAGCAGAAGCCCAGGGCAGGGGCTGCAGACTGGGCAGAGGCAGCGGCAGGAGGGGCTCACAGGGCCATGGGCTCCAGCCCCCTCGGCACACTAGTGCAGGCAGGGAAGGCCCCAGGCGCCTCTCCCCTCTAACGGAGGGAAACCAAGAACCAATGGCCTGTCCCTGACCCCTGGTGAATTCCTAATAAACAAGGAGTAAAAGGAAAGAAAGAAACCCTGAAAACAATGACCGCAATTCACTACAGTCAGTCCCCTTCCTCGGCTGTCCAGAGGAGGCAGAAACTGTCTTCCCAACCAAACCACAAGGTTTTCTTTCCAGCCCGATGATAGCCTGGGGGTGCACCCCCTACCCGCTCCTCTCAGGGCCCAGGGTAGAGAGCAGCTCCTGGAGCCAGGAGCGAGCGACTCAGCAGGCAGCGAGGGCGTGGTAGGCAAGAACGAGGCATGTGAGGCACAACCTTTGGTCGTCTTGAAAGTAGCTAAAAAAGTTAATTCAACTGAATTGGACCAAAGATGTTGAAGATGTGGGAGAATTAAGTTTAAACACACTGAAGAAATGAGTATTATATATATTTCACTGTATCTAAAATTTAATAAGAGGAAGCCACCTAGAAAAACAAAGAAAGGCATTTATATTTGGCCTAGGAGAAGTGGTATAAAAAGCTGAGTTAGCACCAAAATGTAAAGAGCCACGGCGGCTCCAACTGCATCTGGAGGCTTTCCTGGAGTGTGACCTTTTCTCAAAGCACCGCAGGGGAGTGCAGGCTTCCAGTCTCCCTCCTGACCATGGGCTCCGAGACCATGGGCTCCATTCGGGTCCATCCCAACCACAGCTCGGCCTCGCCTGCGCGCTGGGTCAGCGCCGGGCCCCAGTCTCAGCTGCAGAGGGGGGCAATCTCCAGCACCAGGCTGGCATCAGAGGAAGCCTTTGTGCAAAGCATTCAACTCAACAGCAGATCTGCCACCCCGTCAAAAAATAGACCCTCCAGTGCAGATGAAAAGCTTCAGGAACTGGTTTTTAATAAGAACAGTTACAACCGTGGACCTCCCCAAGGAGTGAGAGCCAATGCTTCGGAGTGAAAAGAGCACACGGGAGAGCCAAATGGGGACGCGTGGAGCACAGCAGAAGGCACCACGGGGAGGGGTGGGCGAAAATCCCCAGGAGACGAGGTGGGGTGGGTGCACACCTGAGAAAGCAATGGGGACTGGTGGGTGCACACCTGACGACAGTGATTTGGGGGGGCCGCACATCTGAGGACAGTGATGGGGAGGGGTGGGCGCACACCTGACGACCGCGATGGGGAGGGGCGGAACCACCGGTGGGTGCGCACCCGAGGGCGCCGCGGCGGGACTTTCCAGGCGGACAGTCAGGAGGCCTCGCCGCCTGTCCCCAGCCTGCGCCCTCTCCGCGCTCCGCAGTGAGGACTGGGGAGGGGGCCGCGTCGACACGCCTCGGCAGACACGGCCAGGGCCCGACTCGCGTCCGCGGTCCCAACGTGAGGGGCTGCAGTAGGGGAGGGTCTCGGCGAGGGAGGAGGTCCTGAGGGAGGGCGGCCCGGAGAGAAAATAGGGACGCGGGGTTCCAGGCGAAGGGGGCGTTGTGGGGTTACGTCAAGGCTAGGGGACGCCCGGGAGTGGGGTAGCGGCGGGGAACGGGGGACCGTTTCTCCGCGAAGGAGGTGGCAGCGTCCGAGATCCCCGCACTCCGGGGTCCGAGCGCGGGTGAGGGTGGGGGGACCCGGGCAAGGGCTCCCGGGGCGGGAGGGTCCAGATGCCGCAGGGTTCTCGGAGTCGGCGGGTGCCGGCGGGGAGAGGGCCGTGGTGGCGGGGCATCTCGGCGAAGGAGAGGTTCCCTGCGAGGGGGTTCTGGGCTACCGGCGCCCCCCCACCCCGGCCGCCCAGCCCTCGGAGCGCCGCGTCGGTCCCACCCCAGACCGCGCGCGTCCCCATTCCGTCTCGGGCGCGGCTCCCGGGGGCGGGGCGGGGCCTAGCCGGGGGCAGGGCGGGGCCTAGCCAGGGGCGGGGCCCGAGCAAACGGAGGCGGAGCCTTACGGGGGCGGAGCCTGGGCGGAGGGCGGGGTGGGGCCGGGGAGGCGGGGGCGGAGCCTGGGCGGAGGGCGGGGTGGGGCCGGGGCAGGCGGGGGCGGAGCCTGGGCGGAGGGCGGAGCCTGGGCGGAGGGCGGAGCCTGGGCGGAGGGCGGAGCCTGGGCGGAGGGCGGGGTGGGGCCGGGGCAGGCGGGGGCGGAGCCTGGGCGGGCAGGGCGCCGCCGGGCGGGGGGAGGGGAGCCGAGCGGCGCGGCGCAGGGGGAGGGGAGCGAAGGGTAGGGGGAGCGGGAGGCCCCGCCGGCGCCGCTCTCCTGGGTCCCGGAGGCCGCGCGGGGCGGCGGAAGGCGCCTGGTACGCGAGCGGTGGCGGCGCGGGCGGGGGGCCGAGCCTGGGGACCGGCCCGCGCCCTTTGGTCCTTACCTTGGGCTTCTCCTCGGACATGGCTGCGCGCGGCGGCGGGAGGCGGCGGCGGGGAAGCAGGTAGCGCCGGAGCGGGCGAGTCTCGCTCTCGGCCCGCCGCTCTCCCGCCGCAACTGCTCGCGGGGCCGCGCTTTGCCCCCCAAATCCCGGCGCGCCGGTTGGCCGGCGCGGGGTCACGTGGTTGTGCGCGTGCACGATGCGCGCGCCCCTGGGCGTCGGGCGCGCGCCCAGCCGGGCTGAAGTTCCAGACCGTTGGAAATGCGTCACGGGGCGGGGCCGGCGCGATCCCGGCCGTCCAGACGCTCCGGTGCGCACAGCAGCGGGGGCGCACTGGGACCTGGGGGTGCACGGGGCACCGGGGCGCACGGAGACCTGGGGGCGCTAGAGCACCGAAGGCCCTGGGTGGCGTTCAGCACAGCTAGGTTCCCAGGGGGTCACACAGGGGCCTGGGGGGAGCTCTGGGCAGCGCGGGGGGCGCTCCGAGAGTCGAGGCCATCAGGCTGGGGCAGTTGTGGGGTCAGGGACCAGGACTGGTGCCTTATCTCCGGACCTGAGAAGAGCCTGTCCGCCTCCTCAGTGCCCTAGTCCACCGACCTGGTTCCGCGCCCACTGTAGCTCAGCCCACCAAGCGCGGGCGCACCCCGTTCTTCCCTGTGTCAGAGGAAAAAAAGAAAATAAGGCCAGTCTGGAGAACCATCTCCAGTGGCCAAAGGGGACCTGGGTGAGTGAGTGGTACCTTGAGAGGCAACCCTTGAAAAGGCTCTCTTCACCTTCACGGAGGAGCAGGAGCCAAACGTCAGGGCATGAAGACCTGTGGGGTGGAGGAGGAAAGCAGTTCAATGCTGAGCCCCATGGGCTCCGTGCGCTGAGGACACATTGCATTTGTTCCTTTCGCAGGCACACACACTTCTAAGTCTGAGTCCTTCATCCAGAGCTGCAGGGGGACAGAGACCTAAGACGGATCAGGGATGTGGAATGGCTCTCTGTCAACTTCTCGCTCCAAGCTTAGCCAGGCTTCACTCTCTGTGGCTTCCTTTTCTCCCCTTTTCTAGTCCCGTTGGGCCTTCTGAACCTGGCCATTGGAAGCTGAGCCCCTGGGGAAGATGGCGGGAGGGGTGCAGGAGGCCCTCTTGTGACCGTTTTGCTAACGTTTCAGGAGTGCATACTGCACCAGGTGCCAGGGCTCTACACCTAGTCCTCGAAATAACCCGTTCTGCAGGTGAGGAAGTTGAGGCACTCAGAGCTTCAATTACATGCCTGAGGTCCCAGCGTTGGTAAGTGGTGCAGCTGGGATTCGAGCACAAGCAGTTGATCAGTGAGCTTGACCAGTGTGCTCTCCTGCCTGTCTGGGCTAAGCCAGGGTGAAACCCCCCCAAGACGGGTACTCAGGCGGCCACGGGGAACATGCTAGAGAACGGGGGCCTTAGTCGGGACATCCTTTCAGTGCTTGAGGCATGCATCCTTGAAAGGCCCTGGCTCTTCTTGTCCTCCCTCTCATAATCCTCAGGCCCTCAGATGAAGTGGAACAGTGACAGCTGAAATTTATCTAACGCTGAGGGTGGACCAGATGTGCTGCCAAGCTTTCATCATCCCACTCCAGCCTCACAATACTCTGGAGCAAGGACCCTCATGATCCCTGTTTTGTCAATTAGGGAACGAAGGTTTGGGGGAAGACGGACAGCACAGAGTCGTGCAGCCAGGAAATAGCAGGGTCTGGATTTGAACCTAAGAGGCTGAACAGTTCGCATCCCGTCTGAGTAAGGCCCAGCCGACCAGGTTCCCCTCATTTCCTGTTAAAATCACAAAGCCATGGAGCCAAGTTTTCATGGACTTTAATTTCACAAACCATCTTTGACTCTTAAAAATCCAATTTCTTGGCTAGAGGAGAAGGGGGCTCCCCAAAATTGGGCTGCCATGTCACAGGTTGATGACGTCTCTCCATGAAAGGTGTGGTCAGAGCGAACCTCCTATGTCAGTCAGGTCCAAGGTCTCTTTTATCCTGGAATCAGGACCGTGACTCATCTTGGTGAAAGGCTCTCCAGGTAGAACGGTCAGCTCTAGCTGTGCTCCTAGGAGAGGGGAGCCTCCAGGAACCAGAGCCTTCCAGGACAGAGATGGACAAGGGGGATCAGAACCAGCACCCCCACAAGATTGTTGGCTCTGGTGGGCAGTGTTTGTACCCATCATCCGTCGTTGACTAAGACACCATCAATTATAAAGCATGACATTGTGTGTGCCACAAACACGTTAAACTATGACAGGTTATGGATGGAAGACATATGCTGGTTTCAGACTTATTAAAGTGTGGGAAAACAAAGTAACTTAGAATCAGTGAAACAGTATCTAAATGTGTTACAATAAAAAATTAGTTAAACTATGGTCCATTCATATAATGAAAGGCTGTCACTATTTAAAGAACTGTGTAGAAAAAGAGTAGCTGATAACAAGAAAAGAGCTCATATAAAGTTGGTGAATTTTGGAAAGCAAATTACAAAACTATTGTGGTTTTGAACAACCGGAAACTCTGTGTAAAATATTTTGAAAATCTGTTTGAAGATATCAAATAGCTGCCAAAACAAAGAAGACTTTCTTCTGAGGCGTGAAGATCTCAGAAAGAAGTGAAGTGGGTTTTCCCTCTGAGGCATTTGGTGATTAATATGATGTGTTAGCTTGGGCTGCCATAACAAAATACAAAAGATTGGGCAGCTTAAACAATGGACATTTGCTTTCTGTCTGTTCTGGAGGTTAGAAGTCCAAGATCAAGGCACCAACAGGGTTGCTTTCTGGTGAGGGCTCTCTCCTTGGCTTGTAGGGGGCTGCCACCTCTCTGTCATCACACAGCCTTTCCTCTGCGTGTGCACGGATATAGGGAGAGGAAAAGAGAGAGACACAATGCAGTCCGTGATAGATGCAGTGGACAAGAAGTCGAGACACTGAGCAGAGCCTTTGAGTCTCATGGGATGGGGAGACAACAGTTGGCATGGCCCATTTCAAGATAGGCTCCGATATATAACCCAGACCTTCAAATGGAGCACTGGCGCCTACAACAGAGGAGTAAGGCTGAGGTGTAAATAGGTCAGTCCTCACAAAGACTGAAACCCAGCTTCCAAACAGCTCATTCCCAAATTGGAGTACACTGACCTGTTCTCCTTCCCATCACCAGCTTGAAGCAAAGAAAATCTCTGGAGGAAAATGGCATCATCTAATGGCATTAAATACCTTCACACACAGTATCCAGAATTAAATAAAAGTTTAAAAGGAAGCCAGGAGACAAATTATCCAAAACCAAGGAAAAAATACACAAAATAGCAACAAATCCACAGGGGCAGGATAGTGGCATTATCAGACACTGACTTTAAAGTAACTTTAAATAATATGTTCAGGGAAATAGATTATGAGATGGAAATTTTCAGCAGAGAAGTGGAAGCTATAAAAAAGAATCAAATGGAAATTTGAAAACAAAAATACCATCTCTGAAATTATGAATTCAGTAGATGGTTTTAACAACAGATTAGACACAGTGGAAGAGATGGCTGTGAACTGGAAGATAGGTCAGAAGAAAATATTCAGACAGAAGCAGAGGGAGAAAAAAAGTATGGAAAATACAGTAAAAGGCCTAAGAGCCATATAGAATATGGTGCAACGATCTAATATGTTTGTAAAATGGAGTCCCAGAAGGAGAGAAAAGAAGAGGCCAGAAGATGTATTTGAAGAGGGAGTAAAAGAGGATTTTGCAAAATTCACCAAAGATAAACCACATTTTACAGGGAAACTACCAACCCCAATCAGAATAAATACAAAGGCAGCCACACCTGGGTATATGACAGTGAGCCTGCTGAAAACAAAGACAAAGACAACGTCAGCCAGATATTTAGAGGAGAAACAAAGATGTCTGACTTTGGAACAGAAACGTGAAAGCCAAGTGACAGCAGAATAGCATCTACAAAGTGCTGAAAGGAAATGCCTACGTACAGCTCTATACCAAATAAGACTGTTATATAAAATACAGGGAAAACTTCATTGTATAAATTCAGAGAGCTGGCATCGAAGCTTTCTTGTCTTCCTTTAAGCTTTGGGTCCCCTCTCTAATCCACCTGCTATTATCAACTTTTCAGAGTCCTCGGATAGTTGCTTAGTCCATCTTGTCCACACCAGAAGTCTCGCCTTCATTTTTGAAATATATTTTGCTGGGTATAGAAATCAGAGTTTAAAGTCTTTAAAGGTATCATTTCATTATTCTCATTGTCAGAAGACATTCTGGACCCAGCCCTTTGGGGGGTCTTCTGTCTCTGAAGAGGAAACAGGGTCACTGATTAAGTCCCACACCAAGATCTAAGGACATAAGGCCTGCCTAAAAGTGGGCCTGGACCAGGGCAACAGAGTTGTACCTGCCACCCCGCTTCCAGGATAGCAGCACCAAGGAACGGGTTGGAGCGGCCCATCATAGTGAGTCAGGGGCGAGAGCCTGGAGAGAGACCCTCCCCAGGGTGCAGGTGCACAGGGAAGGCCTAGAGTTGAAGATGGAGCAGGAATGTTAAGAAAAACCCTCCAGCAAACCATCCTCCACCCTCAGCACAAGGTGCTGCTGGAGGAATTTGAGGCCAGTGGACACTAAAGGTAACCACAGCCACTACAAAACCCAGATCCAGTCAACTCGTAGCCTGCCTGACTTGACCCTTACAATGACAGCCAAACAGAAGAGGAGTGTCCATTTTCAGATATAAATACTATTAACCTCAGTCTCTATAGTCCTACAGACAATATCTAGCTTTCAGTAAATAATTATAAGACATACAAAAAAGAAGGAAAAAAAACCCACAATCAAGACATGAACATCAGAGCCAGCCCAGATGGCCAAGTGGTTAAAAGTTTGGCACTCACCACTTTGGTGGCCTGGGTTTGCTTCCTGGTTGCAGAACCACACCACTCTTCTGTCAATTCCCCTGCTGTGACAGCAGCTCGCTTAGAAGAACTACAATGACCTACAGCTAGAATATACAACCGTGTACTGGGAGTTTGAGGGGGGAAAAAAAAGAGGAAGATTGCCAACAGGTGTTAGCTCAGGGCAAATCTTTCTCGGCAAAAAAAGACACCAAATTAAGAGAACCAGATATACATTTGACTCAGATGCTGGGATTGTCAGAGAGGATTTATGTT